ATAATCCAATTCCCCACCTTAGTTGAAGTGACCGTAATTCGTTGTAATATATTCGACCAATCACGATGGTCATCGCTTCCATTGACCACCACCGTAACATGTTGGCTCGCTCACTCTCTTGCTCGCTCACCTTCGTAAGTTTGCACGTCTGAAAGGATCTTAAATGACTAAATCGCAGTTTTCATCATATGTAGTTCAGTACGATTCTTATTGATAATACATTTATCATTTTTAAAACATTCGCAAACATTATAAACGATCTACGTAAATATAGATGATTTATGAAGATATCACTTACATTCTACCAAATGTTAGCAATATTTCAGCATTTAAACTAAATTCGAAGATTGGATCCAAATGACCTTCCCACCCTCCACTCTTTAGAAGAACACATCCCTTTATCAAAATCTCTCCTCAATGTATGCAATGATCGACCTATCAAACAATATGATACTAATATCCATGACAAATCGGAAGAATATTTGAACTTGAAAGATTCAAAGCGCAATGTCGAATTATGTCAGAAAATACATGAACTGACTGAAATAACGAACAACATTTATAAATGTTTATCACGCACCATTGCTCAACCGCACAAACCATACATGACAGAAGTAAATGAATATATCAATGTAATGAGTAAGGCAGTCACTTTGATATGATCTGTGGTGATCAATTGGTATGGTATTATTGACAAACCACTGACAGATCATAGAGTGCAGTATGAATAGAACGAGAGGATCAAAAAAGCACATACATATTATTATGCCACACTATTAACGAGTAAATTGAAAAAATTGAAATTGAAAAAAATTGAGTGTACTGACTCTAATAAATATCAAAAAAAGCAAGCACTCGTACAGTCATTGTAATTTAATTAAATGTAATTTAAGCCATCATGATGGCTAAAAGTCGATTTAGCAGAACCTCTAGATTCAGAATATTAAAAATTATACTGATAGTGAGCAATTTGACCTTGTTGAGGAGATATTGGCATTTTATTAATAATATCTCGGGTGCCACCTTCCAGGCTACCGTTTTCTCAAGTTTGCCCAGTAACATATGGATTTTTTTGCATCAATCGATCCAGTTGGATCTCCTCATTCAGAGTAGCATATATTTTATCGAGCGATTTAGCTTTCCTGAGGAGCTATAACCATTTACTTACATCTATCTCAATTCGATAGCATTCATACAAATTGATCTAAGTATCGAATTGAGTTGCGCTATCGCTATCGAACTGCGCTATCGAATTGAGATAGATGTAAGTAAATGGTTATAGCTCCTCAGAAAAGCAAAATTGCTCAACAAAATATATGTTATTCTGAATGAAGAGATCCAGCTGGATCGACTGAAGCAAAAAAATTCCTATGTTACTTGGGAAACTTGAGAAGACGGTAGCCTTCAATGTGGCACCCGAGATATTATTGATAAAATGTCAATATCTCCTCAACAGGTCCAAATTGTTCAGTAAAATTTTTAATATTCTGAATCTAGAGGTTCTGGTGAATCGAATGGTGAAAAGAAATTCGCATGTTTCTGGGCAAACCTGAGAAGACGGTTAGCTCGAAGATCGCATTCCGCCTATTGTTAATATGAATGTATTGATTGCTCTATAGTGATCAATGTAAATGAATGAACGCCACTGCGCTAGCTGAGATATTCTCCTCATGTAAACAGAACTGCTCAGCAAAATATATGATATTCTGAATCCAGCGGTTCTAAGGAATCGAATGGTGTAGAGAATTTGATGTGTTACTGGGCAAACCCGAGAATACCGGCAGCTTAAATGTATGAACTCTTGTGGTGCTATAACGCCACTGCGCTAGTTGAGATAACTTTAAGGAAATAGCTATATCTTCTCATGTAGGCAGAACTACTCGATAGAATTTATGTGCAGTAGCTCCGAGGTTAAATGACTACGGTAACTAGCCACGCCCACAGTTAGGGCAGCCAACGGGAGTAGCACCCCGGGGTTAAATGACTACGCTAAGTAGCCACACCCACGGTTAATGCAACCAACAGGAGTAGCACCCCTAGAGTTAAATGACTACGATAACTAGCCACACCCACGGTTAAGGCAACCAACGGGAATAGCACACCAGGCTTAAATGACTACGGTAACTAACCGCGCCCACATTCAATGCACCCCGTGATTGAATGACCGCCTTTTGACGCAGTACATTCAGAAGCCTACTGCGAATTCTGTTATAGTGAGAACACATCGGTGTAAAATGTTAATATCAACGATTTTCTAAAGCCATCTCACTTAGCTCAGCGGCTCATTCCAATTCATTGTACTGCTATCCAGCACGGATTCATTTCAGTTGCTATTAGTATGCACGTGACTTCTAGTGCACACTAGGTCAATACTCTTCAGCTTCGAGAACAAATTTGCAATTCTTGATTGTATTCTATTTTTCACCTCAGGTAAATTGATCATATCCGTAATATGAATCCAAACTCTACTCAGTTGTTGTTTAGTGTTTATCATTGGCTTATTTCTCGTTGCATGGATCAGAATTAGCTGCAAGCATGCTTATTCACTCAAATTGAGTTAATTTCAGTTGAAACACTTCTCATTAGTACAGAAAGCGTATTAGACCACACTCCCTTTTTCCTTCACCTATACTACAGGATTACCCCGTTCTGTAGAATGTCGTTTACTGTCATTTCTTGAACACGATCACTGAGATTCGTATCATTTTGTGATAATTTACTTTAGATCTTCCAATTTTAACAATAAGTACACTTACAGTCTGCATTGCATTTGAAAGATTTAGTGCTTTCGTACATACAATGAGCCATCTCAACCGACTCAATCGCACAGTTCATCAGTCGAATAGGAGCGCGAAAACGTGTTGCGCGAAATCTAAGCTTTTGAATCGATGCACACAAATTGCTCTTATCTATAGTGATTTAATGAAAATTATTAAAATTTTATATTCTTCAAGTTTTTAGATCAACTTTTGAGGCATTTAGCTCAAGAAGTTTAAGTTCTTACCAAATGAATTTGNATTCACAATTAACTATCACTTACTTGCTCGTGATAGACCAAGTTTGCCTCGTTGATCGTTTCGTANATTATTTTTAAGGTATCAGTTGTACTTGGTCTATCAAGAAGTGAAACGTCGACAACTTTGAAACGATGTCACAACGTTCAATTCGTTCAAGCACTCGCTCAAGAGGTAATTCATCCATTTTTATGTTCAAATTTACGTAGTTTTCGAACTGTTTTCCGATTACATAGTCATCAGTTAATGGAATCATTACATAATAAGTTTAGAAACTCTTTGAAATCTCAACAACACAAGACTGGTTTGATTGTCCGCAGCAAGTCTGCAGCAATACTCAAATTTGTCACCTGAAATGCTCATTATTATTCACAATTAACTATCACTTACTTGCTCGTGATAGACCAAGTTTGCCTCGTCGATTGTTTCGTAAGTGGATCATATTATTGAAGGTCGTGCTGAAAGTCGAGCTGAAGATGGGTCAGCGCCACGCAGTGGAGATATGTTCACGCCGGCAGACGCTGATGATGGAGATGCAGTGAGCGGACGAGATCAACCGAATGAGGAGTTTGATGAATTGGCTGAATTGTTTGGCGATGAAGACCAGGTGCAGGAAGATGAGGAAGAAGGCGAAAATTTGTTTGGTGATAATATGGAGAGGTAATTATTCAGTGATCATTATGAATGGTCCAATTTGCGATCAAATACAACTGCCCTATGAATCACCATAAACAACCTAAATGTTATTGTAGAATAGTTTAAAAAAGACTGTTTTATTCACGGAATTCAAACTGAGAATACTGCAGAATAAAAATGTAGTTTCATGGCCAGTGAAGATAATTTTGATGAGTATTTGATGTAATGATTCAAATGAAATTGTTACCTTCTCCAGCTTCGTGCAGTTTTCATGTGTATAGAATTGAGACTGTTTATTGATAAGTTCAGTAGTTTGTGCACTTAGTTAACAGGCAATGATAACTGTTCAGGGATTATCGTCCTCAACCCGAGTTGGACGTGTATTCGGAATCCGGTCTCGACGATGCTTCTGAACTCACCGAGTTGTCATTGTCGGCACGTCGAGCGGCCGAACGTGAGATGGACCAACGCGACAATTTGATGGATGAAGATGCACTTTTCTATGAACAGGTATTCGTAAACGAATCGACTTTGATTTGATCATGCCAGGAATTTGAAATCATTAATTTGAGATCATTTGTGAAATCTTTACCAACATGAATTTTTGGGATGTGAACAAAGATTGTTGAATCGGGACGTTAACTTTGTAGAGAGGAGGCGGTTGGGTGATGCATTTGGCTTGTTCGGTGATCTAGTCGGCATTTGGTTGTTCATTCTTTCAGGACGATGAAGCTGCGGGTCGTCGACGAAGACGTCCACGCCGAGGTCGTGCCGGTGAGGAAGAACCGACACTTGAAGGTTTAGAGGAGGAAGAGGAAATTCCAGTTGACATTCTCGAGAACATGCGTGGAAGAACCATCCGAGAGCATGTTTCTGAGGAGGCAGTCGGTAAAGAAATCGAAAGACGGTATCTATTTCTTCAGTGTTCTATCATACATATCTGGAATAATTTATTTATAAGTTCCGAAATAGAAAGACTCCTCGGTCAGTTAATGTTGAGATATGTGAACATTATGTAAAGTGTTTCGAATAGCAGCTGATAGTGTTTCTTTCAGCTTCAAAAGTTTCCTCCGTGCCTATAAAGATCCAGCAAGCAGAAAAGTGAAATACATCGAAGCGATCAAGCAAATGGTCGCGGATAATCGTGAATCTTTGGAAGTCGACTATGATGATTTGGCGCATGAAACTGGCGAACAAAACATTTGTTACTTCTTGCCAGAAGCACCGAATGAGGTTTGTATTCTGGTGATATTAGTGAAAATTCAAATGGCCTAATGCGATAATTCTCAGGAAATCTTAAAGTCAAGCTGATGAGAGTCAGCTGAGGTTCGCGATCTGTAACATGTTATTAATGAATTGTTATGGATTTTGCATCGGACCGGATAAAAAGATATTTCAGATGTGTTAAATAACGATTTTTTTCAGGTTCTGATGCGTATGA